AAAGGACTGGCCCCAGACCTACGCCGACAAGTACTACTTGGGTCTTCCTCTTGTCAGTCCACCTTTTACTGTTGCGACTTTGAATGACAGATATGTCACTGTTCTTCGCTAATACGTCTCCCGCACACACAGGACCTCCCAATCCTTCCCGAGCCAGAAAATCCACTCGATGCAACACGCAACGGCCTCGAATTTGTCGAAAAGCTCCAACTTCCCTACGGCGACTGGGGTTGCGAATACGGCGGTCCCATGTTCCTACTCCCAAGTGCCGTTATCGCCTGGTATGTCACCAAGACGCCCATCTCGTCCGCCTTCGCGACCGAAATCAAGAACTATCTCTTCGCCCGCGCGCATCCTGAGTTGGGTGGCTGGGGTCTCCATACCGAAGGTATCAGTACCGTCTTTGGCACCTCCATGAATTATACAACCTTGCGCCTTATTGGCGTCGATGCTGAGGAGCCCATCATGGTGAAGGCCAGAGCAAGACTTCATGAGCTCGGTGGCGCAACGAAAGGGCCGCACTGGGCCAAGTGGTGGCTCGCTGTCCTGGGAGTTGTGGACTGGGAGATTGTCAACCCTGTTCCTCCCGAGATCTGGCTGCTGCCAGACTGGGTCCCCATTGCCCCTTGGCGGTGGTGGGTTCACATTCGTCAGGTCTTCTTGCCAATGTCATACGTATACTCCAAGCGCTGGACTTGTGAAGAGACTGAAGTCATTCGCGACCTCAAGAAGGAGCTCTTCCCCGAGAATTGGGCATCCATCAACTGGAAGGCGAACCGCAACAGCATCGCACAGGTCGACAACTACAACCCCAAGTCCTGGCTGCTCAACACGGTGAACTGGTGCTTGGTCAATATCTGGAACCCCTATCTGCGAACAAACTGGATCAAGGAGAGAGCTGAAGCTTGGACCAGTGACTTGGTTGACATGGAGGATGCCAACACGGACTACCTAGGTCTGGCGCCAGTCAATGGCCCCATGAACCACATTGTCTGCTACATTCGGGACGGCCCAGGGGCTTACACCGTTCGTCGACACGCTGACAGAATCATGGACTCCCTATGGGTCAATGCCGAGGGCATGCTGGGCAACGGTACCAACGGCGTCCAATGCTGGGACACCGCCTTCATGATTCAGTCAGTCGTCGCTGCTGGTCTCGAGACTGATGATCGTTGGCGCCCCATGCTGGAGAAGGCCCTCGGCTTCCTCGACAGGCAGCAGATTCGTGAAAACTGCAAAGATTCGGACAAGTGCTACCGCCAGCAGCGCAAGGGCGGTTGGCCTTTCAGCAACAGGGAACAAGGCTACGCTGTCAGTGACTGCATTTCTGAGGCGCTCAAGGCCGTCATCTTGCTGCAAAAGACCGAGGGCTACCCCCAGCTTCTCGATGACCAACGTATTTTTGATGCCATTGACTCCATTCTCCTTTACCAAAACGAGACCGGAGGCGTGGGCTCATACGAACAGCGTCGTGGGGGCGAGTACATGGAGTTGCTCAATGCCGCCGAGGTCTTTGGCCGTATCATGATCGAGTACGACTACCCCGAATGCACCACTGCCTGCGTCACGGTCTTGTCGCTCTTCCAGAAGCACTGGCCCGATTACCGCAAGGATGACATCCGCATCTTTGTCAAGCGTGCTGTGAACTGGATCCGTTCCCACCAGAACATTGATGGTTCTTGGTACGGAAGCTGGGGTATCTGCTTCACCTATGCGGGTATGTTTGCGTTGGAGAGTCTGGCCTTCGCAGGAGACACCTACAGCACCAGCAAAGTCTCCAGAAGGGGTTGTGACTTCTTCATCTCCAAGCAGAGAGAGGATGGTGGATGGTCCGAGAGCTACAAAGTAAGTGTGCCTCTATTCAATTATTCCAAGCACCCGAACTGACGATGAAAGGCTTCCGAGACAATGGAGTACCATGAACACCCGAGAGGATCCCTAGTAGTGCAGACCGCCTGGGCCCTGATCGGCCTGCTGGAGGCTGAGTACCCCCACATGGAGCCCCTTCGAAAGGGTATCCAATTCCTCATGGACCGCCAGCAAGCCAATGGTGAATGGCTCCAGGAGACGATGGAAGGGGTTTTCAACAAGAGTTGCACGATTGCGTATCCCAACTACAAGTTCACGTTCCCGATCAAGGCGCTTGGCATGTTTGCCCGCAAATATCCAGATGAGAAGATTACCCCTGGCATTAGCGACAAGGGGGACTTGTAGAGATCAAGACCGTTGCCTTCACTTCTAGAACATGGTCATTTATCAAAAGTAGAACATAATTAATTTTAATGAGACACGATTTCTGCATTGAGGTAATGACGAAAGACTCTGGGAATTGCAAGAATGCGAAATAGGGTACCCGACGATTACAACGACTCGGTCCAAGTTGGGTGACAGTACAATAGCAGTGCATTCAACGACGTCGGGACGGACAGGCGCAATGGGCGTCGGACGAGGCAGGAGGCTATAGGGAGCAAAAGCGCTTCGGCTATCACCATGAGTCGAGGTGCTTGACCGGATGACTCCCTCGGTGATGCTCTCGAGGGTTTCAGGCGGCGATGTTTCGATTCATCATGTGGTTACCATTGTTTTCGGCGCCTTTGTTGACATTTTCCTGTAGGATATTCAAGTGGAGCCCGACCTCTTGTTGCAAGATAGTCTTTTCTAACTATTACTACGATATATATCCTGAGCAAATCTTGTCTAGATTACACATGCGCTGCTTCTGCAATTACCCCAATAAGGAGATGCTTCGTGATATATATATTCGGTGAAGCAAGCCAGTTTCGGTGAGTCGGTTGGTGAAGGTATGCTGACCGAACTTGGTGGCGGAAAGTGGAGAGGCTGCCCCACCACAGCTTCCAGAACAGTCTGACCCCTCTGAGCTGGAGGCAGCACCGACTGAACCTTGTTGGGTCTGCAGCTACCTTTCCTGCATCACCGTTTGTTCACTGACCGTGTGCATTTCTCCCTTCCACTGCAAGCGGGTTGCTATCTATTTCCTTTCAACCCACGCTTCTTCTCTTTGAGACTTCGTCGTAGGAATAAATACGGCACAGCAGTCATTCGACTTTCCAAGCTCACTTCGGTCCGCATCGAATACCTCCCATTCCCCCAGCATCCAAAGAAGCAAATATTCCAAAATGTCCGAATACACAGCCGGCGCAGCCGGCATGACCGCCGTCGACAACAGAGACTGGGAAACCGCCATCACCCAGCTCTCCAAGGCGATCAAGGTCATCAAATCCCCCAAGTGGCTCATCGGCCGCTCCAAGGCCTACATCGGCACAAAGGACTTCCGCCGTGCCCTCCGCGACGCCGAACTCGCCCAAGTCGCCGCCGCGGGCCGCAACAACCGCCCCTTCATGGCCGACGCGCAGTACCGCCGCGCCGTCGCCCACTTCCGTCTCGGTGAGCTGGCCAACGCGGATACCTGCGCCACCTGGGCCCAGCGCATGGTCGAGGGCAAGAGCATGGCCGAGCTGAGGGCGCCCGAGGTCGACGACAAGGGGTTCGCGCAGGGTACTAGGAAGGCGCTGCAGGATGAGATAACGGCTGTCAGGCAGACGGAGGATCCGGCGCAGAGTAAGTTTGGGGCGATCTGGAACTCCATTTGCGCTTTGCGGCTGCAGATCCTGGGCGGGCTGGAGAAGCTTGCGGGGGACGATGAGAAGAGAAAGGTGACGGTGAAGTTTGCGCCTGACATCTCGCTTGATGGTCCTGATACAGATGAGGTGGAGGAGTTTACAAAGGAGGAGATTGAGGTGGCCAAGGCGGAGGCGGTCGCGAAGCCGCAGCCCAAGAAGGATGTGCGTGTGGACTTCTTCCAGAGCAGTACTACTTTGACAGTCACTGTCTTTGCGAAGAACATCCCTAAGGACGACTTCAAGGTCGACTATGGCGATTCTGAGGTATGTCCTGCTTGAAATGAGCACAAAGCACCAGGCAGATGCTAACAGAGCTTTCCAACAGATCAGCATGTCGCACATTCCCGGCCATGAGCCCTCTTACACGATCCATCTCCACGGCCGCATCGACCCCGCTGGCTCGAAGCACATCGTCACCGCGAACAAGGTTGAGTTCCAACTCAAGAAGGCGGAGGCCGTCAAGTGGCCTACACTGCAACGTCCCGCCGACAGCGCCGCTCCGGCAGCGAACAAGTCCAACCCATCCCCCACTACAATCGCAACCGCGCAACCCATGGCCGCCGCGACCTCTGGTCCCGCATACCCGACCTCTTCCAAGTCCGGACCCAAGAACTGGGATAAGCTCGAAGGCGCCGACGATGACGATAGCTCCGATATCAACGGGTTCTTCAAGACGCTGTACAAGGACGCCACGCCAGAGGCACGGCGCGCCATGATGAAGTCCTTCACCGAGAGCAACGGCACCTCGCTCAGCACCGACTGGGAGGACGTCAAGAACCGCAAGGTCGAGACAGTCCCTCCTGAAGGTGTCGAGGCTAAGAACTGGGAGTCTTAGGTGCTGAAGGTGGGCTGATGCACCACAACCGAGGCTCATATGATAAGTAGCGAAACGCATGTTCACTGGTACGGATTAGGAGGCATTGGCATCTCCTAGTAGGAATGGTTCGAGGGACATCATGATATGACATTGACGACGGGGCGTTTGGGCAGTGGTTTTTGGGTATTTGCCTTTCCGCAGACAAAAAAAGTAGTGCATCATGAGAGGGAGAGAGCACGTGTTCTTCATTCCTCTTCAATCTGGCGTTAGGCTTCGTTGATCGAAAAGTAAGTTGCTGGATTATACGTAGGTTATTGAAGACCAGCGACCACAATTTCCTCGATTGACTTGCCACGATCTCCATTTGGACATGTAACTCCATCGTGTACACATAGTGTGTGACTAAAAACCAGCACCACAATGCTGGCTCTCCAAAATGCACCAGACTAAGGTATATGTACATGCATAGTCTCGACTGACTGAGCGCATCAAACCAAGTTCATGTTGCTTTCTAGATTTCTGATCCAACATCTTCCACGTCCTCAGATGGGTTCGAGGAACGGCCGTAGGGCACTTTTGAAATCTTCATCGGCGACATATGTACCCTTCAGCCAGCGGCGCCCGCTTGCCGTGTCGAATGCACGGCGACCGTGGAGGACGCGTCGGTTATCGAATAGCACGCACTCGCCCGGTTGGAGCCTGTGCTGGTACATATTGTCTTCTTGCTCCAGGGTTTCTTGGAATATCCGCGCTCCCTTGATCCAGGCTTGCCAAGTTTCAGAGCTTGCTTTATCGGGCGTGCCTGGGAGAGGCGCCTGGAAAGGCGGGGACCACCAGACCTCGCGGTCTTCTCCAATTTTATCAGCGATGACGGGCCGAGCTTGGCGGTAGAAGAAACCATTCTTGGCATAGTGATAGGGAACCGGGTATTTGGCCAATGCAGAGTAGGACTCGGGTTGGAATCTTTCGAGCCAGGTGGCGGCGTGTAGGGCGTCGCTGAAAATGGACTCACCCCCTGAGCACGAGTTCTCCAAGCAATGGAGGAGCTGGATGCGAGGCGGCGAGTCGAGATAGAGCATGTCCGAGTGTAGGCCTAGGTAAGAGGAGGTGTAGGCAACGTTTTCAGCATCCGGTTTAGAGATGACGTCCCAGGTGTGGCCATAAAATGTCTCCTTGACGGCGCCGAATTTCAGAGCTATATCAGCTACGGCCTTTTCGGTTTGAGGCACATTGGTGAGGAAAACGAGCCCAATCTTGGCGAGCGAAAGGGCGGTTGACCTGAAAGCGGGGCCTCCCTCCATGTAGTCTTTATAGTCGATCCTCTCAAGCTTATCAAGAAGGGTTTCCTTATTCCACATATATCTCTGGGCCTTTTTCACACTGGTATGATGGAAGAAAAGGACTGGCCGTTCGGTCAACAACCCCGCCAGACTCTGGGGGCCGGTGGCGGGAAAGACGGAAACGTGGCCAACGTCGGCAGCTCGCGGGATGTCGTTTGTCCAGCGGATCTCATAGGAGCCATTTGGCATCTCCTTTGCGCCCTCGAAGGCAATTCCGCTTGGGATTTCGGCGGTGGAGAAGGACTTGTTGCCCGAGGAAGGGCTGACGCAGTGCGGGCAGCCACAACGGTCTCGGAGCCAAGCCACGTCTATGTGTTTCGTATGCTTTTGGCCATCAGATTGACCGGTGATAAGAAGCTCCTGGCGACTCGGTAGAATAGCAACTTCAACCACCTCTAGTTCTGCTTGCGCCTTCGGGTCTATCCGCAGCGTGGGGTCGGGTATCGTTGCAGCCACTTCGACCTGTGGTTCCTGGCGCAGGGCCGCGGCTTCTTGGGTCTTTGGAGAGGTGGTATGAACACTAGCGGAGGTCGAAGGCAGGACACGCCGGCGGAGGAAAGGTGAGGGGATGATCGGTCTCGTTGTCGCATGCTCGAGGAGGCGTGCCACCCGCGCCGCGGGGCGGAGAGTTCGTGCCAGGACCATGGTCGAAGTCTTGCGAGGAATGCAGCGTTGTCGAGTGAGGGTATTCTGTGAACCAAGAAACACAGAATACGGAGGTCGTGGCAGCTACTGGGAAGCTGCACGACGAGGAGAACAGCAAGAGACGCGCAGCTGGAGTTGGTCAGCTCGGTGGGACGTCGCGACCTTGGTTATATCGCAAGAGCCGAGGGAGGGGCTCTATAAGGTAAGAGAATATGTAAGTACGACTTTCCGAGTGCACAGTAAAGACTGGATGAGCGGACAATGATCCGATTAAAGGGGGGAGGTTGGCCGGTCCAATCCCACTTCGTCACTGCCCTAAGGGTAAGCTCCGGTCTCGACCCTCCGTTGACGGCGGGACGGAAGCTCCCACCTCAGCGTTTAGGGGAGCAGCGGCAGCAGCAGCAGGGCAGGAAGGGGCCGAAACGAGGGGACGAACCTCGGTCGGATGGCATCTTTTTCTGGGGAAGGCGGGGGAGCTTGGTCACTGTATGCCGCACTGTACCCTGACTGAGGGGCACCTTCTTCACATGCATTTTACTGTGTACGTATTCTGCAAGTCTTCCACCAGTCTTCCATCTTATCTAATCTTTTCCATCTCAACCTCCAACTTTCCATTGAAATATGCCATTCCATGTTCCATCGCAACCTGATATTGATTTGAATTTCTGCTGCCTGTGATCCAGATGGACAAGATTGCTTCTTCGGCACAGCATGTGCCTTACGCTTTCACCAAAGGTCTCTGACAAGCCTGAGCTCAATCGCAACTGAATCCTATGCTCATAGCCTTTGCCCCAGCTTTAGCATCCAGAGATAGCCAGATATCACATGCCGTGCATAGTTCGATTGACCCACGTGGAACCATCCCTCGTGACCATTATTGGCGCCGGCAGCACTTTGGAACTCCGAGCGGCGCAGCTTAGCCTTTTCACATGAATCTTATATGCAAATATAATGACTCTAGGTTGCTCGCACCACAATCTCATCATCCTCCGTCCAGCCACGGACTATCTGAAGAGCGACTCTGGGAGAAAATAGCAGAGACTCATGACGGCATGAGTAGCGGGGATAGAGACAAGATACCCGAAATTTCTCTTGGCATTACTAACAATGCGGTGCCAGTTTGGTACATGCCAGATGTTGGCTATTTAGCAAGGTCGTTTCCAACTTACACACGTATTACTGCTGTTCTATAAGCCGACGGGATACACTGGGGAATCTGATTCGAGGCTGACGAAGATTTCCCGACTAAACTTGCGACGCGAAATTCGATCGCGTTGGCCCAATACTTTTTGGGTTTCTCAAAATAGGCATCGTCACTTATCATAATTGTCTTCGTGAGACGGTCTTATTTAGTGAAAGTTTCTCAAGTGGTTCCAAAGTTCAAGAAGGGGAGTTCAGCTTTCTCCTGCTTACATTTAGTAAAAGATCATGCTAGGGAGTTCGCTTGACTTATGGACTGTCACATTCGGCCCCTGCACTGGATCCACAGGACTGACTTTCTAGACTTGAAGAAAAGTGACGAGTAAGAATGAGGGCTCCTAGACACCCATCAAAGCATGTGTAACATTCTGCCCGCCACAAAGTTCAAATCTCACATTTTTAGCAAAATTTACACCATAACAATCATTGGCAACGAAGCAAGGTTATGAGGCAATTTCAATAGATATTATCAACATCCAGTTGAATACGAAAAATACGAAAGTACAGGCCTTTCCCCAGAAGCCCCTTTTAGACAGTGGAGCTGTTAATCGCCTTCCAAATCTCATCGCTCAACGTCTTGTTGGGCGTGAACCACTGCTCGAGCCCCTTGTTCTTCTGCAGCACAAGGTCCGCCACCAACCGTCCAAAGACGACGCTGCCCTCGGCGTTGAGGTGCGTGTTGTCGCTCTCGACGAGGTTGTACGAGTGGGCCTTTGTCTCGCCGATGGCCTGGACGTACTTGCGGCTGTTGAGGTTGAGGTCAATGTAGGTAGTCTTGGTCTCCGTCGCCGCGGCGATGGTGCGCTCGCGCTCGTTGGAGAGGTTGTTGGTCACGACGCCCGCCGAGTTGAAGCTGCGGCGCGTGAGAGGGGTGACGAGGATGGGCGTCGCGCCGAGGGCCTTGATTTCCTTGGCGAGGTTGCCGAGGTTTGTCTGGTACTGGTCGAGGGAGATGTTCTTTTCGGGCTTTTGGTCGTTGTGGCCGAACTATTTGATAGCCATGTTAGCAGGTCCGAGAAGGTGATGGTAAGGATGAGGCAGTATAAGACTCACCTGAATCGTCACATAGACATCAAAGTTGGCCGTGTTGGACTTGACTGCGTCCTTGACGGTAGCCCAGTGTCCCTGGCTGACATAGTCGACCGTGGTACGTCCGTTGCGGCCGTAGTTTGTGCCGAACGCCGGCTTCTTCAGGAAGCTGAGGAAGCCATTGCCCCAACCGCCACCACCAGTAGACTGCACCGCGGTAGTCGAGTCACCGGCGAGGAAGAACGCGGGAGGCTTCGCGGCTCTCTTGTCCGCTGACGGGGCAGCCGAGACGAAGGCCGGGAGGAAGGCCGCGGCGGAGAGGAGGGCTTGAGGCTTCATCGTGGAGTCTTCTGTGGTGGTTGTCTGGTTCCAGTCTTCTTCAGGAGGTGCTGCTGCTTGCTGGGTGCTGCGTGGTAATGACTGTGAAGCTGAAGACGAAGCTGAGGAAGTAGGGGCAACTCCACATGCAGACGTCCTTCGTCGCACCGGACGCCCATCCTCTTCATATACGAGAACCATCTCAGGTCCCCCTTTACCCTTTACGAGTATACCGACAGCTTCGTTTACCACCTGAACCTTGCCACGCCGTCCCCGGTCGAACGCCGGTGCAGCCAAGGAAAAGCTCTCGAATCCTTGATGCAACCCCGAGCAGACAGCCGCACCTCCCAGGGCCAGGAACCCAGCTTCTTTCTCCGCTCGCTTGGTAGAACGAACCCGAATCTCCAAAGTCCTGCAGGGAAAATTAGATCGAGCAACAAAAGCTTAGGGTATTACACCGTAGAATCCGGCGAGAGGCAAATGGAAACGGCCTGTACCTACTTTACTCCACACCCCTGGCAGGTCTGGGATGATGCTGGGATACTTGGCTGTCCCCCACTCGCGATGGTGTAGTAGCCGTAGCTTGGGAATTTTCTTCCGTCAATGGGATGAAGACAAAGTTTAGTAGATTACCCCTCTTGCCTTTTCCCCCCCTGGTCCCCCCGACTCCTCCAAAAGCTTAGCCACGTTCGGAACTGGTGGAGGAATGCAACGATTCTCCGAGACAAATTAGCTCTTTGAGCAGACTAAAGCTCCCGTGGCTCCTTAGCTTTCCCGTCGTCTCATATTCTTTTTCTTCCTCTTGTGCTAGGTTTGAGATTGGCAGGAAATTGGATTGAGCAGAGATGCTACTCACGTCATCTGCTGCAGGTATTGAACACCACACCACTCCATTTCCTGTCGCCGGCATTAGCCTCAGCTACCCTCCTGCACGCCGGGCGAGCGGACGGCACCTAGCCCAGTTAGATCTCTAGAAGGATTCAGATAGATCGCGGGGTTTTCGGGGCGAGGTCGGGGAAAACACCACCATTCCCAATCCATATGCGCGGTGTGGGGTTGGCTCGGTCCCTGGAATAAGATTGACCGTCGCAGTTCGTCCGAATAGGACACGAGGACCCGAGTCTTGGCCACCTGGTGCCATGATGCAAAGCTTGAGTGGTCATGGTGCGGTGTCAACTTGTGAAGGGGGGCTCTGTGATGAAGGGGAGGAAAGAATTGGCTTGGGTATGCTTGGTAAAGGCTTGGACAACCCGAGAACAGACGTTGACTCCGGGGCCGGGGGGCGGCGAAAGCACCCCCGTTTAACCCGCGGGAGGCCGAAGACGTGACTCGTGGGGAAAAGGAGAAAACTGCAAACGCCAGGTAAACCTGCATACTCGTGAACCGAGACGATTGTGAATTGACAGGATAGATTGCCTCATCATCATCTTACATTCATGGTGGGGTATTCTACTGTAGCAAGAAAGGCAATGGCATGCTGTCGCCGAATATGCCGTAGTCCGAGTCTTCCGTTTTATTCATACAAAGTGAACAATGCTTATGCCAGCATAGACACTCCCCAATATTCGTGTAAACCATGGATCCCCATGCATGGTCAGCACCGCCAAACCATGCCCAAGACCAGGCTTGTATCATTCGCCTCCAAACTTTTCCATGCCTTTTCCCAACGCCCGCCCAGATCGTGAATATGAAATGCGGGAAATCATCTGTTGCGGTTGCTTGACCACCGCTTAACCATAACTTCGCGAATCTTGTACAACTTAAAGACCTCGGCCGGCCCCTTCTTCATCGCCTCTTCCAATTGAGGAGGCGGCGGAATGTCGACGTAGACCAAAACCAAGCTCTTCTGGACGTGGGAGAGGACACGGACGATCCCGTGAAGCCAGTGCCAGGTCTTACGCGGGATCTTGCGGTCACTGTCCTTCCACCATTGGTGGGAATAGGATGGCAGGAGGATGGCGCCGAACTCTGCGTGATCAAACACGGGTCCTTTGGCGTACAGCATCCAGTCGACGCCAAACTTGATACCTGCTCTGGGAACCCACCCCAAGGAGCGGAAGTGATGGTACACGGCGTAATTTACAAGAAATCCATCATCCGGCTGGAGCTCCTCTGTAGGGCGACGGGGGAAGTAGGAGTATTGTCTAAAGAGATTGAACAGCCCAGGAGTCGGGATCGGAGTCTTGGTGGTAGGGTCGATAACTCGTAGAGCACCCATGCCGAAAGCCAGGAAGAATGCTTCCTCGGATGTGAGCTGGAGGTGTTCCTTGTTCACGACCTCGACTGCCTCCGCATGGACATCGTCTAGCTTCTCAAGTTTCTTGACATCATCAGATCTAGTCGCCTCTTCCGAATCTGTCTCTAAGACGCTAGGGCCCAATGGCGTGCCATTGACAGGCAGTGTCGCCTTTCCATTGTTTCCGTTGTGAAGAGCGAGTCTGGGGCTAGGCGGGTCGGACAGCTGATATGTGGCCGACTCAACCTTGGGCGAGAAGCGAACGCTCTTGCGACGTTTGGCCGACTTGGGTGTTGATGGGATCTCGGTAGAGCTGACAGCGGATTTTGCCACCCCGTTCAAACCATTTTGATGAAGCATCTTGTCACCATTGTTATTCGTTATCAAGTCGTTGATCAGATGGCCGTTCACGCCCACGTCTTCATGGATTGTCGACAGCTTTGGTGTTTCGGAGGGAGGAGTGTCGGTAACGGGGCTCTCATCAATGTTCGTCATCGTGGCGTGGTCGCCATTCATCGTTCCGTTGGTAATAGGCTCGGCGTTGGGGAGAGATAAAAGCTCCAGGGGCCCAACCGGCGAGGCAATTGCTGATATAGTTGAGATGCCGTTGACGAGTGGTTCCTTGGCTTGGGGCTCGGAGGAACCCAAGCCAACTTCCTGTGATGTAGTAGGCTCGTGGATGCCGTTGACTTGCCGAGCACCACCATTCAACGTCTCAATCTCAGTTGAGTTTGCTGTCGCAGACAGACTATGCGAGTTGGGAAGGCACAGCAGTTGTAATGGGCCAACGGGAGCATTCCATGTGACAGGAAGAGGCGTCAAAGGCACTTGGTCCACCGGCAGGGCCTTTTCGGATTCGTCGACAGCCTCAAGATCTTGGGCCGAATGAAGAAAGTCACTGGGCTTGACAATCTTGGCTGGCTCGATAGCTGTAGATGCCCCTTGGAAGGTCGAGGGTTTGGTAGAAATTTGGCCGGTAGCCTCGGGCTCAGTGACGGGCGCCACTGTTATCGTATCGACACCGTTGTTTTGCCGGTGATTGGATTGGGCGGCAAGCGCTGATTTAAGGGGAACAAGTGGCTCAGGCAGTGTATCCGCGTCTGTCGAGGCTTCTCGCTCAGGATCATCAATGTTCGTTGCATCAAGGATGGCGTCAGCCTCGGTGACCAGGGCAGCAGAGTTGACTACGCCATCTCCTGACACCTGAGTCGCCAACTGGGCTTCCTGGAGTCGTAATTGTCTGATGGCTTCTTGCTCTGTCTTGGCTCTCTCCCACTTCATCTGCCTTCGCTCTTCACGTCTGTTGGCTGTTACCAGCTCGCTGACCTGGCCTGGCACCAGGCCTCGCCTGACATGCTCGCGCTTCAACCAGTTGGGCTCACTTCGACTTAAGTTGCCCTTGCCGTAGAACCCTTGTTCCCACAGCGCGCGCATGGACTTTTCGTCGATGATGTTGACAGATTTGGATTCTGGGGACCAGAGACCCTCGTGCACAGTGGACGGTTCAGCAGGCGGTGGGAACAAGGCTTGTTTCGTCCATGCGAAAAGGACATGGAATAGAGAAATTGGATTATTCGGATAAAAGCTAGGAAGCGAAAATGTCCGTATGGGAGCAGGCAACTCGTAAATCTTGTGCAACGGAGGGCCTCGCGGCCGCGACGTCGTGGAAGACTTCGAGGAGCTCTGGGCAGGCATCGTAGCTTGCGCCGGCTGTGAAGCCGTAATTTTAGTTTGCGACATTGTGCTAGCAAATCATGTCTGTCTTTTGGGCACTGGTTAGCTTATAGTCCATGGCTCAGTGCTTGAAGAACAGAAAGAATTGTGTCCAAAGTTTGCATCAGATACCGTTGTAGTCTATATTGTTTCGCGGCACAGAGGTTCAATGAAGACGCACTCTTCGCACAATGGGTAATAGGTGTCATCATAGCAAACATTCAGGTGGAGGGGCAGCCAAGGTAACCTTTTTCAACCGCGCGATAGAGTCATCGCGACGATCAAGCAGGGCTGGGCCAACCGCGGCAACCACCTCATGGACCAAGGGAAGAAGAGATTGAGAGAACGTTGTAGCAACTTACCTAATTGAGGAATTTTCCACCCGTCCAGCCGACAGATCACCCGTCAATTGGGCCATGCAAGCCGGAAATCACCTCACTTTTTCGAGGCAGCTCGATCCTGTTCGGCAGACGTGTGTGGATGGTGAAGGAAGAAAACAGTGTTGCTCGCAGAAAATTTCAGCGTACTACGGTATCAGGCCAAAGTTTAACCCCCTTGTCAGGTATCTTCGCCCGTGCTTTTCGAGATTACATCAGCAGCATTACTTTCGAGATTCTTGTGCACGTCGAACACAAATTTGGCCATTGAGAGTCACTGCTCTACCCTGGCCAGACCCACGCTACCTGGTAGGGAGTTTAAACTTACCCCTATAGACCAAGTAGAAAAAGGTCTCCGCCGTATCCATCGCTCGCTTCCGTCAAAGCCCCCGCCGTCTGACTCTTTCAAGGCTCGCTCACCCACTGGTCCGTGCCCAGGCCCGGCTGTCACCTCCGGCCGGAATAACTCGGGTGGGGATAGCCCACGGGTATATGATGAATCTTACCTAATCCAGTCTGGCTCAAGCCTCAGATTCCATCGGAGCTCCCGCCACAGTCACTACTCCCAAGGTACCTTATGTGGCTGGTGGTCACAATTTCAAGCTTCGAGCTTGGTGGGGCGCGTCGAAATCCCATGCCACGCGACTCCCAGTCTCCGGTCCTACCGACTTTTGTAAGGTTATCGGCCCCGTCTCCGCTAAGCTTACGGCCAATTTCCAATTTCCTCGCTTCTAGGTAGGATTCGGGAGTCTGACCATTGCCATGTTGTCGGCGACTTCGTGACGAATTTTCCTTTCCTTTCTGCCGCGGTTACCTCCCTCTCATGGTATTTGGGCGCACCAGCTATCCTTGATCCCAGGACCCCCCTTTCCGCGCATCGCGCAGCGCAAAACGGCCTCGATCCCATAATGGCAGATTGGTCATCCGTGGCGCATGCTATTGCGATCGTTTGTGCTGGATGGAGCACATTTGTCTATGCAGTGCAATCCATTGGTATCGTCAGAATGTGAGTGTAGTTCTAGATGATGCGGACCATCCACTGACCTTCTTCAGCTTCCTCTCGTACTCGTCTCGCCTGCGACCCGCCGTCTCCCCCTCTCTGAGCAAAGAAGATGTGCCGCACATCACCATCATCCGTCCTGTCAAGGGTCTTGAGCATGGTCTCTATGAGTGCATAGCGTCCTCATTCAGACAAGACTACCCGCGCGACAAGCTGACGATCCACCTCTGCGTGGCCGAAAAGAGCGATCCGGCGTACCCCGTCTTAGTGAAGATAGTACAGGATTTCCCTGGTTTCGATGCTCGAATCTTGGTTGAGGAGGAAGATCCGCTACTGCATGGCACTGATGGCCACATCGACAACCTGGGCCCAAACCCAAAGATCAGAAACATCAGTCGCGCATATCGAGAAGCCAAAGGAGACATCATCTGGGTCATGGACTGCAACATCTGGGTTGCCAAGGGCGTGGCTGGTCGGATGGTTGACAAGCTGTTGGGATACGGGCCGGATGGTAAACAAGTCAGGCCGTACAAGTTTGTACACCTTCTGCCAATCGTCGTCGATACGGTGTCTCGAGGAGGCGTTTCAGCAGAGACGCAGACGCTCCTGTATTCAACCCCCGACTCTAGCTCCTCGCAACACATCACCGGCAAAGGCCAAAGTGTTTCGTTCCTCGAGTATGCGAAGAGCCAAGGCGGAGGCCGACTCGATGAGATGTTCATGGCCACAAGTCACGCCAAGTTTTACAGCGCGATCAACACCGTTGGCGTAGCCCCTTGCGCCGTCGGCAAGAGCAACATGTTTCGCAAATCGCATCTGGACACCGTAACGGACCCAGCCCAAAACCCGATATTACCCAACAAGAACCTACCTAAGGGCATCAACTACTTCTCCGAGTACATCTGCGAGGATCACCTGATTGGCGATCTATTGTGGAAGTCGAGTCTGCCGGGCATGAAGAACCACGGACTCGTCATGGGCGACCTTGCAGTTCAACCAATGGCCGGCATGTCCGTACACGCATACTTTGCCCGTCGCGCTCGATGGC